TTTGACCACATCTGGTGGCCATCGAAGAAGATGCTGGGCCTGAGCCGCTTCTTCACTGACTAAGTACTCATTGTCCCTCTGCAGTCTGACCTCACGGCCCTCGGTCGCCAACACGCCAACAGGCGAACACGGCCTACCCTCACCCTGTGGATTGGGGTCTGAATGACTCATGAACTTCTCCTCCGACGTTCTTCCAAAGGAGGATTTCTTTCCGGGGACCGTCTCGTGTGGCCGAAGAGGTTCTAGGGCGACCATTCTGTTCACTCCTCTTCCTTCCTCGGTGCTCCTCTCTGGCTGAATAGGGGGATGGGCATGTGTCCGCTCACAGTCCGGCTTATTGACCTCTTCTTGTTCAATCAGAACATCTTGCTGCCATTTCATGATGCGCTGAGCCAGGGCTTCCTCTTCACTTACAAACTGCTCACACTTCTTCAGCTCGGAGATATTTTCCATTGACAGCTGAAGTTCTTGCTCCTTACTCGTTTTCTCAAACAAAAACTTTTCCTCTACATCTTCGGCCTTGGAGGGCAATTTCATTTGTCCATGCAGTACAGATAGAGTTTCCAGTCCCCTTGGCTGCCTTTTCCCTCTGGGTTTCAGTGCGGGAGGAGTTTCTGCTTCAGTGGACTTTTGTGTTCGCTCCATCGCAGGCTGATTTAGCTTTGCTCGATATGGGTCGCTCTTATTGTCAATGTAAACCGGTCCTCCTGATTCCATGTAGGGTATTTCCTCGGGCTTAGACGGTACGGTTGCAGGTTGAGAGGGTTCCTCCTGCGTTATGCTTTGCGGCCAATTCCTGATTTGTGGAGCCAGGTGTTTTTCCTGACACTCACTCTGTTCAGCTTCCAGGTTTTTCTCATCCTGCGCCCTCAAGCACTCTCCAGACCATTTGTCCTCGGCTGGCTCGATCATTTTTGCTGGCTCTTCTCTACCTTTAGTTTTAGGCTGCGTCTCTGATCGCTCTGTGACTCCGGGATATGCCTGTGGCTGCACAAGCAGGTCCGTGTCTTCCATTTCCTCTGCCTTGACTTCTACTTGAGGGGATTTATTGGTTGAAGGTGTGGCAGATTTCGGATCAGTTCCCTTACACTTCAATCTAGGATATTGGCGGAAACATGGGGGGGTGGCTTTGGTCTCTTCGGGAGTGACCTGTCTTACCTCCTCCTGGGTGTAAATGTGTTCTTCGGGCTCCATAGATGGCATCTCCCTGGGCTTTGGCATGCCAGTTTCAGATTCAGATTGAAATCTTCCATCTTCTGACTCCATATCCGGTGTAGCTTTTGGCAATGGCAGGCCAGCTCGCAGTTGAGATGTTTCCTCCTCTGCCATACCTTGCTGCCACTTCATGATCCGCAGTGCCAGGAGTTTTCCCTCACAATCCATGCGCTCAGCTTCTAGGCTCCTCACATACTGTTCCCTCAAGGACTCTCCGCACCGCTTGTTCTCAGCTGGCTCAACTCTCATTAGAGCCTTCCCTCGAGGTTTAGTTTTAAGGCGTCGCTCCGTTTGTGCTTTGACTTCAGGCGACAACAGTCCGTCGTCTTCTATGTCCTCTGGTCGGACGTCTATTTCCAATACATTGTGGGTTGAAAGTACTGCAGCGGCTTGGGTTTCTCCAGGAGCTACCACTCTGACGTCTCTCTGGCTGTAGGTGTGCTCTTTTGGCGTTGCGTACAATACTTCTTCAGGCTTTGGCCGGCCAGTCTCAGGTTGAGAAGCTTTCTTTTGTGTGATTTGCTGAACTTGCTGCTGCTTCCCAGTGCCTCGGGCCAGGGGTTTCTCCTCACATTCAACGTGCTCAGCTCTCAATCTCTTTTCATACTGTGACTCTCCAGCATATTTGTCCCTGGGTGGCACAACTATTTTTGCTCCCTCTCCTCTCTCTTTAGTTTTAAGGTGTGGCTGAGTTTGTACTTTGTCTTCGAGCGAAGTCTGTGGCCCCGTAAACAATTCCTCATTTTCTATTTCAACTGCTCTGTCTTCCAATTTTGGCAAATTCCGCATTAAAACTGTTGCAACCTCAGGATGGGTCTCCTGGGCCTTCATTCTGGGAGATTTGAGGAAAGGCAACATGGCTTTGGGCTCCAAAAGAGTTATTTCTCTTGCTTCCTGCTGGGTGTAAATGTGCTCTTTGGGCTCAGTGTATGGTGTCTCTCTGGATTCAGATTCAAATGCTTCGGCTTCTGACATCCAACTGCCCTTCCTAATCTGAAGGGATACACCCTTTCCCTCATGTACCACTTGACCATCCAGACTCTGACATGAGACTTTTTGGGACGGTTCGTTACTTACTGTTGTTGCAACCTGTTCCCATTCTTCAGGTGGGACGCGGTTCATATCAGACTCGACCAAATTGAGGTTTTGAGATTCTGACAGTGAAAAATCATCTTCAGCATGCTCGGTCACTGCCAATTCTGCGATGGCAGTGATTGAGCAAGGTTCCCCAGAGGCTAATGGTTTGGAGAATTGTGGGGTTTTAGGGAGATACGGGGGTTCATGGTGGTATGGGTTTTCAAGGAGGTATGTCGTCTCCGGGCATTCCTTGTGGTATGTGGGTTGAGGGTGGTGTGGGGGGTCCAAGTGGCATGTGGGTTTAGGATGGAATGGGATTTTAGGGCGGTACTGGGATTCCGGGTTGTCTGGGGTTTCCTCATAGTATGTGGAGTCAGAGTGGTGTGAGGGTTCGTGGCGGGATGTGGGCTCAGGCTGGCATGGTGATTCCGCGTGCCTTGGGATTTTGGGGAGGTATGTGGGTTCAGGGAGGTTCGGGTCCACCTCCTCTGTCTGACACTCCACTTCGAAGTTGCTGACCCTGATTTGAAGCTCACTCATTTCTGCCTGAACCTGATCAAAATCTCCAGATTTGTTTTGTTCATCTTTATCAGCACACGATTCTGTCCGGCTCTGACCTTGTGGGACCACCACATCAACCAGCTCACCTCTCATGATGCTCATGGCTTTGCTTCTAGACTGAGGCTCAAATGAATGTCTCACTTGAGCCCGAGAGGTCTCCTGGCTCACCTCCGAGCCTCGACACTCACCCAGACCTTCGCCCAATTCAAACGCTCGCTTAAAATGCTCAACGTTCACCCTGACTCGCTCCGCGTAATCCGGATAGCTCAAATCACTGGCTACCGACTCGCAGTCAATTTCGGAGGAAGACATGGTGGAGATAGAAAGCCTCTTTCTCTGGCGGACAGCTTTTTGCAGCGTGCTGAGTTTAGTTCTAACCTCATTGTGAAGACTCTCGGTGTCACTAAACCTTTCGCTGTAGCGGTCACTGCATCGGTCGCTAAACTTGTCACTGAAGCGAGTTCCGGTGCGCCGGTCACAGTAGATGTCACTCAATCTGTCGTGAAGGCGATCGGACCGACTAAACATGGGCTGTGGGGACGGGGCGCGTTCTGAGGCCGTCTCCAAACCCTTAGACTCCTTGAGAGACTCTTTCTCATGCAAATAAGAAGTTGAGTGAAAGAAAACGGTACGCACCAGAGCGCTCTTGGACCGAGTTTGCCGCTGGCGGACCTTGGACATCTTGTCAAATGGAGATCCTACATATCTGAGGTCCACTCTAATCTTCCGGCCCTTCCTCTGCTCAGCCATATTGGCTACACTCTTGCGGACTTCCGCGGAGCGACGGACAAAGCCTAGGCAGTTGGCCGAGTGCTCTTCCCTCAGCGAGACCAGAAGAGAGGCCGTGGATTCAGCAGAACCTTCCGAGTTTATTGCCATGACCTTGTAACTGCCAGAATCCTTTTCCCCGACGCTATCGATGAGCAAGCTGCTTGTGTGTACGTGCATTGCGCTCTCTGTGCAGATCCTACGCCTGCATGCTTTGGGTACAGACCTATTGTTATGAAACCAGAGAATAGTGGGTGGAGGGCAAGCCAGAAGTTTACACTTGAACACAAGCGGCTCCCCCTCCAGGACAGACCGGAACTTGATTTTTTGGGTGAAGGACGGCTTCATGTTGTCGGTCGGGGAGCTGATGGAGGAGGTCCTGCCGGGGCAGGGCTTGGCGGAGACCATAGCATGGTCCAGGAAGTCCTCGGTGCCGGAGAAAGCTCCTCCGAGCAACCGGGTTGCTTCCAAGGAGCCCGGCTCTGCGGAGAGAACGCAAGGACTAAGGCGGCGGCATAAAAACCCACAGATATTATTGGAATGAATGATTCATTAATGGGAAAAAAATTGAATGCATGCGATCACACTGCAAGAAGAAATAATTGCACTCACCATATTTGTTCGAATAAACGCAAGACTTGATTCTTTTTATTAGAAACCTGCAGGAAGATTTGATCCTTCTTCTGTGGAAATTTCTTGAAGACAAATTATTACTTGGGAGACTTTAAAAAAGCAAAATTCAGAGTGGGGCTGCTCGGAAAAATAAATCAATAAATAAATCACTTTCGGGTGGAGTACTTCTTACCTGACTTGCAGACAGGAGAATAAACGCCCTTTCTAGTCCTTGACAGCAAAAGGAATGAAACGCTCGCACGAAATGTCCCAAAGCAAAGCGTCAGCATAGCGACTGAAGCGCTAAATTTGGTGAGAAGGCGTTTATTCGAACTAATATAGTTTGACTGGGGTTATGATGACTGCAAACCACAGGAGTCACATCATCGCTATCTGCAAGCCAGCATAAGAAATGTCCATTTCGGTTCAAATCAACCTTGATGGTGAACGTCAGATCTGAGATCTACCCAGGAAACAAAAACAAAACAAAAAAAAACCCAAACTTTTCTTCTCGCAAGAAACTTCATGCCATGAAAGGAACCGCTGGATGCAAATAGACACGAGTCGTCCGGACGGAACCACCACCATTTTTTCGCGGCACGATACATGCAAAGTACAACGGGAACATTTAGAACATTTCGTACTCTGCTCGGTGTCTGCGGAGGCGGCCTCAAAGCCGCCCGACCGCCCGCAGAGTGCCTTCAGAGTGAAAGAGGGATCGATCTAGCTATCATGTAACTGGGAACAGATGATGAGGACCACCTTACCTTTCACCTCCTGCTTAATGGTGGTCTCGATCTCCTCTCGCTCTTGAGTCACTGGGGACAAAAGAGACTGCTGTTAGATTGGGCCTGAAAACCAGATTCTCAAAGGGTGGAAAACGGTGGAAAAGGAGTCAGGTGCATGCAAACCAGTCTGGGTGGAGGTCAAGAGGTGAGGTTTTGTTTTTTCTGTGGGGTATTGAGAAGAAATGAAGACCAGGTCTTGGTCATTAGTTTGTGACTTGGAGCCGGTGGCGGGTAAATAAAGAAGTTCTCGCAAAAAGTTGAGAAGAAATAAAGACCCACAGGCGCTGGCAAGTCCAAAGCGGACAGGGCCGCCAACATGAGTGGGACAACTGGGACTTTCTGCGATTTCTTTCAACATTTGGTTAATGACTCTGCTTGAGGGAAGATGGAGCCGGGGAAGGTGACAGGGACGTTTTCCAAAACAGCGTTAACATGAAATGCAGAGGGACGGGAGCAAGCAGCTCAGGTCCAAAGGGAGAGTGAGAGCAGGACTTGGGCGGTAGCTTAGTTTGCGACTCGGGTCGGTGATCTCGACGCAGACATTTCCGGAAGTTACCTTCTTCTTCCCGGCGCGCTTCGGTGATGTCGAGCGTGGCCGAGCACACGGCCTCTCCTGCGAGGTTGGTGGCCCTGCAGGTGTACTGGCCGGCGTGCTCCGGGAAGGCATCCACGACGATGAGGGTGGCGGTGCTCGTCAGCTCGTCGTAATGGAACACCACATTCTTGGTGGGCAGCACCGGCTGCCGGTTGTGGAACCAGCTTATCACTGGCGTGGGGGTGCCGGACACGAGCGCGTGAAAGCGGGCCACCTCCCCGTGCGGCACCGAGCAACTCGTGAGCGGCTGCAGAAAAACTGGCTTCTGGCTGGGGGCGGCTTTCTTTCGACTGCTGAGTGCGGTGGAGACGTACTGCTCGGCGGGAGGCTCCGCTGATTGTTTTTGCCCTGAAAGGAAGCGCGTTCGGCAGTCTTAGGGCCAAAGTCGACTCACTTTGGTGGATTTCTACTTGAGGGGCCTGCGGCGTGACCTTGGGCCCCTGTTGGTTTCTTATTCACAGTCGCAGTCTTGTTCCGAGATGACGTACAGTAAATACTTGTGACATTTTCACCGATGGCACCAAGCTGGAACTTTTTCAATATTTTAGCATCCGCATGACGTGGACCTCCAGCTTATTGAATTTGTTTCCTAAATACGAATGGAAGTAACTTACTTGTTCCTTCCATGTTTCTGTATGTGACCCTCAGTGGAGGGGGCGGGCAGAGGAGAACAAAACTTTGGACCAAGTTTGCTTGTTCCCAAAATACTGGTGGAGTTTGGAATAGCCGAGACAATTTCTGTGTGCGTTTTTTCACAACAGACGCGGCCAATAATTTCAGATTCTGATTCAAATCGAGTTTTACCGTCCAACGTGAGGGTGGCGGAGCAGGATGCGGTCCCGCCGCTGTTGACGGCCACGCAGGCGTACTCGCCCTCGTCCTCCGGGTAAACTTTGGCGATCTCCAGCTGACAGCTGTCATCAAACTGAGAGATCCTGAAGAATTCCGACTGCTTGATCTCCTTGTCCTTGTGGAACCAGCTGACCTTGACATCTGGACAAGGAACGACATGAACGACATTCAGTCTACCGCTCGTTGCGATCGCGCAGTCGCCTCTGAAGAACTGACGTACCGTCTCCGCCAATTCTGCACTGGAAGCGAGCCGGTTGTCCCTCCAAGGTGGACGTGCTGGCCATGGGCGAGATGACGACGGGCGGGGCAACAATCTCGGGCAGCTCTGGGGAAGCCACCTCCGGCACTGTCACACAAATGCGAGCTGAAAACCTTCACCTGTATCTGGAGTCAGACTACGATGTAGACACGCGGCATGGTCCTTCAACATCGCCCATTCGCAAGTCGACATGTTTGCCACGGGTCTTTCCGGTACGCTGGCACCGCCTTTCTTAGGAACTTTCCAGATACGCAAAAACTGCAGTGTTGGCGAGTTGCTCGCTTTCGAGTGGTGGAGCCCCGCTATCAGCGGGTGACGGGGACCGGAGTGGGTCGACGGCAGCCAAAGTCCGCGTATGATTGACTTTCATTAAAATGCAATTTTCACCAGCTTTTAACTTGTCCAAATGGCAGTCGACTCTTTTCTACTAAACTTCCCGCGGCTTCCGTCCCTCATTTGAAAGCCGAAGCCTCATTTAAAATCGTCGGCCCGGCCGGCAACGCGGATGAACAACTTTGAGCGGACGAGTGCGGAAAACATCCGCTCGGACAAGATGGGTGTGGAAGTGTTGCCCTCTAACCTTCCACGGTGAGCGTGGCGGTGCTGGTGGCCACGCCGTAGTCGTTTTTGGCCTCGCAGTTGTAGATGGCGGCGTCCTCCGCAAAAACCTCAATGAGCAGCAGGGTGTGCTCTTGGGCATCACGCAAGAACTTGCACTTGAAGCCCGGCGACAGCGCCTGAGAGTCCTTGTACCAAAAGACACGAGGCTGAGGGACGCCGCTCACGGCCACGGAGAAGCGAGCGGGCTTGCCCGCCTCCACCGATTGGGCCTCCATGTGGCGCAGGATTTGAGGCGCTTCGGGGACTGCGCGAGATACAAAATAGCTCGGTCACGCTTTGGGAGCTGGGAACCGCAATATCTCTCCCCCCCAACAACAAACAGTCGCCGGTCTCATCAATCATTAGTCACTTTGTCCATGGAAAGGCGTGCAGCCGTGACGTTTTGGCCAAGAAATGAGACGCGGCGCAATGACTGGACTTACTGTTGACTCTCAAGGTGACAGCGCTGGTGTTCTTCCCGGCGACAAAGGCGTACTCGCCGGCATCGCTCCGAAAAGTTTCCGAGATGGTGAGGCGGTGGAGCCTCCTGATGGCCACGTAGCTGAAGCGCTCCTCCTCCGACAAGTGGATCTCCACGCCGTTCCGCAGCCAGCGCCCTTCCACGTCGTCCTCGTTCACCTCAAACTCCAAAGTGGCGCGGTGTTTCTCCAGAACCTAGCGCCGCACACAGTGACCGGGCGGGCTTTAGCTTCCCTGCCATCTGCGCCTTCCGCTTCAAAAGGGCAGGAACGTTCAGGGTGGCGCGAGAAAGGTCAGTCACCGTGACGTGTCGCTCGGCGGGCTCCGAGATGCGAATGTCGCGGCCTTCCACGGCGAGTCGGGCCTTGGACACGCTGGAGCCGGCCACCACCGAAAACTCGCCGGCGTCCGACATGCGCACCGTCTGGATCATGAGGCGGTGGACGTACTTCTCGGCCGTCACCACGAACCTGCGGCGGCACGGCTGCAACATGAGCTACGCCATCGCAATCGCTCGACCCCTGAAAGTTTTGCGCTTCGGGCTCAGACTGCCTCGCGCCTTCATCTACTCTGCTACTTTTTGTATTCGACAGCCTGTTTCTTAATCGACGGCAGCAAAGAGCAAAAAAAAAAAAAAAAAAAGGAAGAAATCATGTGCTGTCCTCGTCGTCGCTTTTTGATTTTCCCGGGATTATTTCCTTGGAGCATTTCAACTGAATTGGTTGTTTGAAGATGAATAATTCAAATGCGGCAACGGATAAATATGGCTGCTTGTCACCGACATGCAGATGGCACCCAACCGCGCCCCCTACCCCACCACCCACTTCCCTCCCAGAAAAGCGAAGGGTGCAATCATGGCCTGAAACTCGAAACGTCGTTCGGAACGAGCCTTGATTTTGGGGCCAATGGACGAAGTGATTCCGATGACTTTCTGCGCGCAACTTGAAAACGCTCCTCCAAGTTGGCGGGCGTTGTCGGTGTCGCAATGTGCGCTTTGGCTTCGGATCTTAGCGAGAAAGATGCAGGAGACAAATAAGATTTGCTTGAGAAGGGCCCCCAAAGTGACACTCGCGCTTCATGTCCCCACCCCCGACGCCCCGCCGGGATGCGGAACCTTGGACGGCGGCTCACCTCTCCTCGGACGTGTCGAGCTCCAGGCCGTCCTTCATCCACACGACCTGGACGTTGGGCTCCGACAGCTCGCATTCGAACACGGCCTTCTTCTTCTCCGTGATCTTGATGTCTTTGATTTTCTTGGTGAACTCGATGACACGAGCTGGCCACAGGAAATTGCGGCAGGCATTCAGTCCGTGTGCAACGGGGGGCCAAAAAAGTACTCGCAGTCAGTACTCGAGCGCAAGTTCGGACTCCCCTTGAGCCATTTGTACTCCTCTCAAGCGCTACTCCGTATGCCGAGTTTTTTTCTCTTACTCCGCACCGCACGTTTGGAAATCTCGAAAATCTCTACTTTGTATTCCTGCCTGCGTCGAAATAGACCAAATGGTCTTTTTTCAAAGGACGAAAAAGGAAAATAAAAAAGGAAACGTTCACCAGGCTTCAGATCGGGATTCGGCGCCCGAAGAAGCGCTCGAAACCTTGTGAGGTCGCTCTTCCCGTGAACTTCTTCACCATACGTTTTCGCCGGTCATCCGCAGGGATTCCCAAAAAGTAACCGGCCCATTTTGACAAAAGAAGAAGAAAGCACACGTATCTGCTTTCAGGCGCATGCAGCCAAAGTACAAGTTGTCGGGAAAAACTTTCCTCGCTCGCTCGATCGATCGATCCGGGGCTCGCGCTCGGAAGCTGGATCCGCAATTCACTCCGGAAGGCAAGTACGGATCAAGCGAAAAATGATCAGCGAGGAACCCGAAAGGCCGAAACGCGGAGGCGCGTACCTTCGACAAAAAGGTTGGCGGCGCTGGCCGCAGAGCCGGCCACAAACTGGTACTCTCCGCCGTCTCCGAAGTGAACGTTGCGAACGGTCAGCGAGTGGGTCAGCTGCCGGCTTCGGACCTGGCACCTGTCGGACGACTTGATCTCCACGCCGTTCTTCAGCCATTTGTAGGTGATGCCCTCGTAGTTGACGGTGACCTCGAAGGTGATGGTGTCCCGCTCCTGAGCGTTCAGGTCTTTCAGCATGGAGGTGACCAGGACGGCTAGACGCGGACAGCGATCGCCGGGTTAGTCGGCGCTTTCCGGGAGGCCGCGAAGACGGTCTCATAGGACCGCCCGAAACAAAAGTCCCGTTTTTGGCACGACGACTGTTCAATTTAGACCTTTGGGTTCTGACCAAAAGGTGCGAAAGCGCGAGTCGGGCTCTTACGGCTGACGGTGAGCGTGGCGGACACGCGGTCGTTGCCGCACACGAAGGTGTACTCGGCCGCGTCGGCCCTGCTGGTGTTCACGATCTTCAGCTGGTGCAGCTTGCCCTGCACCACCACGCGGAACTTGTCGCTCATCTGGATCTCCACGCCGTTCTTCAGCCAGGTGGACGGCACGTTGAAGTGGGACACTTCGCACTCGAAGGTGGCCGCCTGCGTCTCGGCCACCGTCACGCTCTTCAGGGGTTTGGTCACGCGCAGAGCTGGAAAGAGAAATTGCAAACGGCGGTGACCTCGCCGAGACCGGCCTCGGTTTTCTCCCGCCGGCGTCCAAAGAGTACCTTGCACGGTGAGGTTGGCGGCGCACCGGAGGTGTCCCGCCACGGCCGTGTACTCCCCTTGGCTGGCGCTGTCCACGTTCTGCAGAACCAGCTTGTGGGCTTTGCGCTCCACCAGAATCTTGCAGGAGTCGCCGGGCGTCAGCTCGGCGCCGTTGAACATCCAGCGGACGGGGACGTTGTCGTGAGACAGGCTCATCTCGAAGGACGCCGTGGCGCCCTCCAGCGACGTCACGTCCTTCATCTTCTTCACGATCTTGATGGCTGCACGCAAACGCCGCGCCGCCGAGGCCCGGATCGGATTAGCGCTTGTTGACAGCCGGACTGTTTAAAACCTCGAATTCGGGACCTTGCCTGGACTGGGCTCAAATCACGCACGCAAGGCGCCCAAACAATGACAAACCAAAAAACTATATGGACATGTATATATCTCTACCAAGCAAACGCTGGAATCTCAGGCACCGCCGCCGCACTCGAACCAAATCTCCGCGGTTTCGAAATGTGTGTGTGTGTGTGTGTGTGTGTGTGTGTGTGTGGGGGGGGTTCCCCCCAAGCATCGCCCAGGACGAGGACCCCGTGTGCAAAAGGAGCGCGGCGGCCACTCACTCTCCACGTTGAGGCGAGCGCTGGCCGTCAGCTTGCCCAGTTTGAAGGAGTAGACGTCCTCGTCTTGCGCGCGGCAGGCCCGGACGCGCAGCGCGTGGACGCCGCCTTGGGCGCTCACGCCGTACTTGTCGCCGTCGCTCACTTCCACGCCGTTGCGGAACCAGCGGGCGCCTTTGACGTCGCTGTGCGTCAGCTCCAGCGTGAAGAGTGCCTCCTGCATCTCCGTCACCGTCTGGTTGCGCAGAGTCTTCTTGATCTTCACCGCTGCATCCCACACAGACCACCGATTACTCGCTCAGCATTTCATTCTTACTTTTCACTCAGTGCAAGTTGAAAAGGACAATTTGCCCCGCCGCTTGATTCAGAGCGAGTACTTTTCTGGAATCTGTCCTTCCAGTATCCGCTTACGCGCACGCGTGCAAAGTTGGTACTTGTCGATGTGTAGCAAGTGACTTTTCGGAGTCCGTACTTGGACTTGATCGGTACTTTTCACACAAGTAGCCGAGCGGGCTTTTCGCACCTCCCCGCCGCCACCGAGGGGATGGAGCTAAGCCGAAACGTACCTTCCACCTGCAGGTTGGCCGAGGTTTTGGAGTTGGCCACTTGGTAGGTGTACTCGGCGGCGTCCTGCGGTCGAGTGACGGCGACCACGAGGCGACGGACGGCTCCCTCGGCCACGCTCTTGACATTCTTGCCCAAGTCCAGCGGCTTGCCGTCCTTCAGCCACTTGCCCTCGGCGTCGGCGTTGGCCACCTGGCACTCCAGTTCTGCCGTCTGCGACTCGGCCACCGTCACGTCCGTCAGAGGTCGTGTGATGGCGCCGCCTGTTGGGGCGCGCGAGCGCGGGTTACGCGACCACAATCGGGATGGGAATGGCGAGCGGACCCCGAGCTGAATTCAGCGGGGCAAAACGTACCGGAGACGGTGAGGGTGGCGCCGGACGTCTTCTGTCCGGCGTGAAAGCCGTACTCTCCCTCCTCGTCCTTCATGGTGTCGATGACAGTCAGAGAGTGAGTCTTGTCCTTGGACTCCATCTTGTACTTGGGACCAGGCTTAAGATGCTGGCTCCTGAAGGTCCAAACCGGGTCGATACCGGCGTGGGACACTTCAACTTGGAAGGTGACATTTTGGGACTCGGAGCACACTTTGTCCTCCATGTGTTTGACGATTTCGATCGCTGCAAATGAAAGCGTCACAGACAAGAAGGTGAGGGCAAATTCATCCACCGGCACCACAGGGAGGAGACGCGGGCGGCGATGATCCGCCGAGATTGAACGCAGGCACCCGGACTCCCTTTGCCGATTTGGAGACGTTTCACCTTCGCCTCGCTCGGTAAAAGCTTTCTTTCGGTCGCTCCGTGGCGATTGCGGCTCTGTCTGCACCATTTGCGCGATTCAAATCACGGCGGTCGTCAGGATGAAAGGCGGAGATGACGTTGCCTCGAGGCTTTGGACGGGAACTCTGAATTGCCCTTGGAGGGGCCTGCCTCAAAAGCCGGTCGCAGACCTGATTTGACTCGAGTGGACCAGAGACCGAGCTCATCTCAAATCCACTGGAGACGGACCTTGAGTGCAGCCTCCCAGAGGCCGAACGAAAAAAAATCCTTCCATAGATCGAACTCAAAAAAGCTACCAGGGTGCGAGCAACTTAGCTCCAAGCTACTGGAGGCGTGAACTCGGCGGACAACAAACTTAGTTTGTCATCCGGTGAACTGCTTGACTAACGGTTCCCCCGAGGAGATTGTTTTGAAGACGCTTGGCCAAGAAGGACGATGTGGATTTTGTGATGTCCCCCCCACCAGACGCCTTCATACATAAGCAATACGTCATGCCTTGACAGATTCTTTTTAGCGTGTTTAGTATGTCGGAGTTCAAAGCTATCCTTGCGCCGTTCGGTCCGCGGCACTCGATGGAAAAAAATCGGGGAAACGTCCGCATGCGTCCATCCGCCTCCCTTTCAAGAAGATGACACGAGCTTGGTCTTACGTTCCACGGTGAGATGGCAGCCGGTGGACACCTTCCCGACCAGCAGCTTGTAGCGCCCCTCATCCGAGGCGAAGGTTCTGCCGAAGACGAGCCGCTGCTTGGCGCCTTTGGCCACGATCTGCACGCGCTCGCCGGCCGTCAGCGGCTTGTCGTCGTGGTACCACTTGACCGAGGCCACGTTCTGAGCGGAGATCTTGGCTTCCAGAACCGCCTTGGTGCCTTCCACCGAAGTCACGTCTTTCAGGGGCGCCACGATTTCAATGGCTGCAAAGACACAAACGGTCACCGACTCAAAATCAAAATGCCGACGCGGGGAATCGTTGAGGCGCTACGTCGCGCCGACTCTTTTGGGAAAAGAACGTTCATCCGTCCGCCCTCCGGCCCCACCTTACTGACCAACCTGCTGCGAGCCGCCACGTTTCAACTTGCGTACGTATCCACCGACGCCATTTATTGAACTTGGCTTCCAACGACCACTTCTGACCGATTGAATTTGAACTTTGGCACACCTTTGTCTTCCCGTCCCGTCCCTTCCCTGACTCAACTCGACGACTGACGGTACAATATCAAGTCGGCGCGCGGCGGATCGGCGGCCTTACTCTGAACGCTGAGTTTGCAGGAAGTGCTGATGAAGTGGCCGGGAACCTCAAAGGAATACGAGGCGGCGTCTTCCGGCCCGGCGTTCTCCACCAGGAGCTTGTGGACGGCCTTGTCCACGACCAGGTGGACGCGGTCCGAGGCGGAGACGGCCTGGCCGTTCTTCATCCAGGTCCCCTCCACGTTCTCCTGGGAGAACCTGACCTCCAGCTGAGCGATGTCGCCCTCGCAGACGCTCAGATCGGACAGAGGCTGCAGCAGGGTCACCGGACGCACTGCGGACGCACAGCCCGGCGGTTAGCGCGCGATCCGGAGGACGGCGCTCGATGCGACTGGCCCTCGGGCCCGGAACGCCATCTTAGCAGTTACTCCCCATCCTTGAGGTACGAGCGCACTCGTCGTCCTCGCCGCTTTGCCCTACGAGTTCACGGCCGGGCGCGAGCGTCTGCGAACGGAAGGACGACGGTCCGAGCTCCTTACGTTTCATCCTCAGTGAGGCGCTGGTCTTCAAGTCTCCGCACACAAAAGTGTATTTGCCCTGGTCCTCCTTCTTGACGTCCTTCACGGTCAGGGTGTGCCTTCCGCGCCGGGAGGACAGAACGTGCTTGTTGCCGGGAGACAGCTCCCTGTCGCCGAAGAACCAGCCGCCCTTGGCGTCCTCTCGAGACAACTCCACCTCAAACTCGCCAGCGTAGCTCTCGGGAACCTCGATGTTCTCCAGAGCTTTGATCAGCTCCAGCGCGGCACCTGAAGTCAGACGCGTCGATGTCAAGCGGCGACGCTGTGACGACTTTCATCAAAGACCGAGGCGTCGTAATTACGCTTTCCTCCCGAAACAGAAACAAAGGTCCGATCAAATAAATGAAGGGGGAAAGGGTTGCAATTTTGGTTTGTTTGTTTTTGTTTTTGGGCCCGTTGTCCGAGTGTGGCACTGCTGTGCTGTTGACATTTTATTCACATCTCTGTCAAAGTCACAAAGGAAAAACAGATGAGCAAAACACTTGTCCTGTGGCCGCCGAGGGTTACGTTGCGCTTCAAGTACGCCGTCACTCCCAAGTTGCAGGTGCCGAATTTCCAAACGTTTGACGCTAAGCGCTTCGACTCAGCGGGATTGTACATGAGTTGGAGAGGGCGTGACGTCGCCGTGACCTTTGTTGTCACTTGACATCCTGCAGATTGGAAGGAACTCGGCAGGACTGGAAACGCGTCACTTCGCTCGAAGGTACTTCTCGCCAAGATAAGACCATTTTCAAAAACGTCACGCTTTGATGATTCGACGCACTGGATTCTTTTTAAGATTAAAAAACAAACACGGAAAAGAAATCAAGTTTTCCTGTTCTGTGGGCAGATGGACTCGCGCGTTACGGGGCGTTTTTCTCTTTTTTGCGGCGGCGCCACGGAGGACGTTCGGAATGGGCCGTCAAGCTCACCTTGGACGTGAAGTCTCGCCACGGTGCGGATGCCGTCGTCGTCCGCGAGGACACACGCGTACTCGGCGTCGTCGCTCACTTCGATCATCAGCACGGACAGGAAGTGCACCTTGCGATCCGAGTGCATTCTGTACTTGTCTCCGGAGAAGATCTCCGCGTTGTTCTTCAGCCATTTGACTTTGACGAAAGGTTCGCTGGTTTCACACTCGAAGGTCACCATGGTGTCCTTCTCTTGGGCGTCGGCGTCCTCCAGATTTTGGGTGAAGCTCACGGCGGCCTTAGCTACAAAGACAAAGCGAAGCCATGACTGCCGGAAAGCAGCCCCGTCGACGGATCGCCGCCGGTCCGGGACCGGTCTCGGAAAGGTATGATTTTTGATTCTATTTATCAATCCATCCCGAAGGGCGAAAAGGTGACGATACCTTGCACGAGCAGGAAGGCGTGGCTGGAGGCCTCCCCGGCCACGTTGACGGCTTTGACCATGACGCTGGCCGAGTCTTCCGGGGTGACGTCTCGGATGACCAGCTCGCACAAATGGTCTTCGGGCCAGTACCAGTAGACGCGGTCCGACTTCTCCAGCTCGACGCCGTTCTTGAACCACTGGCACTCGGGCTCGGGTCGGCCCACCACCCGCAGCCGAAAGCGAACCTCGTCCGTGGGGTTGACCGTCTTGCTGGTGATGCGTTCGAGGATCTTGGGGGCTTCCATGCTGGGGGATAACTGGAGCCTCTCGGGTTTGATTGTGGGGATGGTGACCTTGCCCTGCTCCTCCAGCTTCTTCCTCTCCGCCTCCTCTTTCTCTTTAAGGTGGTGGAGCAACTCATCCTTGGTCTTCCTCAACAAATCTTCGTAGGAGTCATCCCTCCGGTGAGCCTTGAATTCCACCGCAGAGATGGACTCGTAGAAGCCTTCTTCCGTCCTGCGCTTGAACTTGCTCTTCAGCTCTTCGGACTCCTCCGAGGTTTTCTCGTGAACGATCCTCTGCGTCTTCCTGAGTTTCACCACCTCTTTGTCCGGCGCGCCCTCGGCAGGTCGGTCCACCTTCGCGACGCCGAAGCCGACCCTGCCGGAGTCGTGCGGCGACTCCGACGCCTTGGCTTCCGGGGCCCGCCGCAGGACGGACCTGAAGTCCTCCCTCTGCGTGACGTCCAGCTTGACGACGTACTCCGTCGTTCCCAAAGGGTTATCGGCGACCAGTCGGACCTCGCCCGTGTCGTAGGACTTGACGTCCACGATCTCCAGGTAGTAGATGCCGTCGTAGCGCAGTCGGTAGCGCTTGCTCTTGCGGATGAGCTGTCCGTTGAGGTACCAGTTGACCTTGGGCGCGGGGTAACCGGTCACTC